CTTTATGGCAAATTTCCACACCCTCAAGACAACACAAAAGTCTTCACAGAACTAGGAGCAGGAGTAGGCTATTCAGCCCCTTGAGCCTGCTCTGTTATTCAATACAACCATGTTACAATCACAAGCTTTTGGAGCGCTGCTCCTTCAGCTTCACCTGACTATAACCAGGTGTCGTGTGACTTCTGACTTTGTTCACCCCAGTCCAACACCGGCACCTCCACATCATCAATATGATCATGGCTTATCTCATTGCAGCCTCAACTCCACTTTCCTGCTCACTCACCATAATCCTTTAACCCATTACGAATCAAAAATCTGTCCATCTCCTCCTTAAATTTATTCAGTGTCTACCACACTCTGCGATAGTGAATTTCTCCTCATCTCTGTTCTAAATCTGCTATCCCTTAGCCTAAAATTTGACTCCTTGTTCTCAATGGGCCTAAAGGGGAAATGTCCATTCTATCTTCATGGAGTGCAGTCACAATTGGCACCTAGACTGGTGAGCCATAGCAGACCTTTCAGCCCATTGAAAAGGTAGAGATGGTTCCATCAGATCACAACTGATATCAAGGGGAAATTTTCTGAAGAAGGGTCTTGACCCGAAATGTCAGCTTTCCTGCTCCTCTGGTGCTGCTTGGCCTGCTGCGTTCATCCAGCTTTACATCTTGTTATCTCAGATTCTCCAGCATCGGCAGTTCCTACTATCTCTGTAACAACTGATATCAACCCTTTTTATGCATTTTTGCTTGACATCTGTTGCTACCCTAATCCAACCAAAAGGGGAGCGGCACAAACAGGCCAGAAATCAATGGTCATCCAAAACTTCTAGTAATACAGCACAATATCTAAGGGCTACCATTAAGTTGGCTATGGTGTCCTTAGGAATTTAAGACTAATCTACAGGCTACTGCTACAAGCAAAGCCCCAGGAAGAAATGTGAGGAGGCACAGAAGCGTATGCTGTTTTTTTGACAAAAAACTTCCAATTTACCTATGCTAAAAATACAGAGCTTGAATCATTTGGTCAAACAGCCTTTTCTCAATCAGGAAATGCAGAGCTGCAAGGCTTTCCAACTGGAAACTGTAACAACAAATAGATTGGGTGATTAGTTGTAGGGGCAGGGCGGTTGGCCAGACAATGGAACCTCCATCAACATGCACAATCAAAGTTGGCAACTTACATCTGAACAAACAGAGCTCATGATCTTGATGAAATGTACACCGGAGGGGGGGGTTGCACGGCTATGAACCAGCTCAGCCACAATGGGCTGAATGGACTACCTTCATTCTGTATAATTTTAATATCTCATCCTACAGTTGATGCTGGGGGATTTGGGAGATTTTCCATAGATCCAGTAAGACATTCCTTGCATTTAGAGGAAAGCATTTATTGAGATTTCATTTCAGCAATATAAAGAGAAATTTCTTGATTGTCTGTGTTGAGTTAAGCGATGCATACTTGTTTTGTGGTGGTTCTGCAAATAAACGTTAGACTGAATAAAGATCAGTTCCAGTACCACTCTTCACCAACTGATGAAGGGGTAGTATGGCAGCTCAGTGGTTAGCACTGCTGCCTCACAGCGCCAGGGACGTGGGTTCAATTCCACCCTCAGGTGACTGTCTATGTGGAGTTTGCACATTCTCCCTATTTCTGCGTGGGTTTCTTCTGAGTGCTCCCAGAGTCCAAAGATGTGCAGGTTAGGATGGATTCGCCATGCTAAATTGCCTGTAGTGTCCAGGGATATGCAGACTAGGTAGGTTAGGCTGCTAGCTAACAGTTTACACTACTAACTGAATCATCCCAACAAATAAGTTTTCTCTCAGAGGATGACACATCTGCAGAATTCTTTACTACACAGGCCTGTGGAGGCTGGGTCGTAAATATATTCAAAACTGTGATAGATAGGGTTTTAATCAGGAAGGGACTCAAGAGTTATGGGGAAGTATTATGATCTACCAAGAGCTAGAAAATGGGATTTTTTATTTATTCATTCACGGGATGAGGGTGTCACTGGCTAGGCAGCATTTATTACCCATCCCTAATTGCCCAGAGGGCAGTTAAGAGTCGGCCACATTGCTGTGGGCCTGGAGTTACATGTAGGCCAGACCAGGTAAAGATGGCAGTTTCCTTCCCTAAAGGGGATTAGTGAACCAAATGGGTTTTTCTGACAATTAACAGTGGATTCATGGTTATCTTTAGATTCTTAATTCCAGATTTGTGTTTTGGAATCAAATTCCACCATCCGAGAGGGATTCAAACCTGGATCCCAGGGACATTATCCGGGTCTCTGGTATTACCACTACGCCATCGCCTTCCATCCAGATTAAGGGGATTAAGCTTGTTTTTTTGGCCAGTGTGGACATGATGGACTGAATGGCCTCTTACACAGGGCTTAGCGCTCTCCATGCTTTTTAACATTTCAACCGGGTCCTCTTGCAAATGCTTACACTGTCCAAGAAGGATCAGGGGACAGGATACAAGAGCCAGAACAGTGTACAACTGTTCCCTCTGTAGCCCAGGGACACCAGTTTCCAAGGTTTGCAGTTGTGAGTGAGTTTGGACACCAACAACAGGCTGTTGTGAGGCTGTCTTTCCCAATGCTGATCATTTAAAAGAAAACTACGATAACGACGGAGCTCCTGACTTCAGTAATATTCAAAGGCGGCACCACCAGCTCAATCTGGACTGACATTGACTAAACCAAACCAGTTATCAGGGAGACAAATTGAAGAACTGTAGATACTGGAAACCAGAAACATAAACGGAAATTGCTGGAGAAACTCAGCAGGTCTAGTAGCATCTGTGGCAAGAAAGCAGAGTTGACCTTTCTAGTCCAGTGACCCTTTTTCAGAACTCTTCCAATTGTGCTACTGATATTTTCCAGCCCTCTCCTGTTTTGTTTAAGCTAACAGAAAGGTTGTTCCTTCACAATCAACTCTTATGCTTTAAAAAAAGAACGGCTGGCATTTATGGGAGTGCTACTCCTAGCCACTAGGTGTCTGAAAACATACTTGGAATATTGTGTTCAGTTCTGGTCACCTCATTAAAAGGAAAGATGTGGAAGATTTGGACAGGGTGCAAAGGAGATTTACCAGGATGCTGCCTGGACTGGAGGGCAGGTCTTATGAAGAAAGGTTGAGGGAGTTAGGGCTTTTTTCATTGGAGCGAAGGAGGATGAGAGGTGACTTGATAGAGGTTTACAAGATCATGAGAGGCATAGATAGAGTGCATAGTCAGAGACTTTTTCCTAGGGCGGAAATGACTATTACGAGGGGGCATAATTTTAAGGTGATTGGAGGAAGGTATAGGGGAGATGTCAGAGGTAGGTTCTTTACGCAGAGAGTGGGTGTGTGGAATGCACTGCTGGCAGTGGTAGTGGAGTCAGATAATTTAGAGACTTTTAATCGACTCTTGGATAGGCACATGGATGATAGTGAAATGTAGAGTATGCAGGATAGATTGATCTTAGTAGGATAATAGGTCAGCACAACATTGTGGGCCGAAGGGCCTGTGCTGTGCTGTACTGTTCTAAGTTCTACTGCACACATCAACGAAGCACTCCTTGAAGTGGAGGGGACTAAGCAGCCAGTTTGTACACAGCAAGATCCCACAAGCAGCAATGAGCAGATTTTCTTTATGGCGTGCGATGTCAATTGAGGGATAAATATTGCTTGAGGACTCCCAGATTAACTCTGCTTCCAACTCAGAACCATGTCATCTTTTCACATCCACTCAAAAAGGTAGTTGGGCCCTCAGTTTAGTGTCTATATCTAAACAGTGCACCCTACACCAGTACAGTGACCCCTCAATACTGCGTTAGAATGTCAGCCTGCATTTTTGTGCCTGAACTAAGCAGCAAGAAATGAAAACCAGAACCTGGTGATTCAGAGGTAAATAAGCCTTCTGTGGTAAAGAATTCCACAGGTTCACTATTGTTTGAGTGAAGAAATTTTTCCACACCACACTCCTAAATAATCTACCCTGTAGTCTGAGACTGTGACCCTTGGTTCCAGACACCCCCATACCAGGGGAAACACCCTTCCTGCATCTAGTTTGTCCGGCCTACTGTGAAATGAATAAAATTCTCTCAGATTCTTCCTCATCCTTCTAAAGGAAATAAGGAAGGTCAAAAGAAAACAAGCAAAGTCATTACAGACCCAGAGGCTAGAGAGAGGGGTGGGTACAATTACAACATTTGAAAGGCATCTGGATGGGTTTATGAATAGGAAGGGTTTTAGAGGAATGTGGGCCAAATGCTGGCAAATGGGACTAGGTTAGATTAGCGCAAACAGTCCGAGGGGTTTGTTTCCGCGCTGTACGACTCTCTGATGGTGGTTTTACCTGAGGGTCAGGCTGGGGAGGAGAGAACTTCATAGTCACCTCAGCCCACCTAGCTAACCCATTGGGATATATAGCACCTTTTACAATGCCCTCACAGCATTTGTAACAATTCTGTAGTTGCTGTTGCAATTAGGAAAAAAAAAACGAGGTAGAGGGTGTTAAAGGCGTTTGAGGGTTGGGGTGAATGGGGTGTGTGTGACTGATCAGTAAGCATTTTCAAAGAATTGGCCCTTACACGATGCCATTAACTGGGCTATCTCACTGTCCATAATAGCCACACAGCCAGCGCTCGTCTCTGCAACCACGTGGCAAATTGCATCAGACAGTGATCAGGGAAAAAAAAAGTCACCTACAGTGACTCCGGTTCAGTCTGAGCAGATTTGAAAAATTGACTACAAAACATATGAAACACTTGGTTGAGAAATTCCAAAAGAGTGACAAATTAAATCAAACGAATTCAACTCTTCAGCAAATCAATTCTCCCTCCCCCAGAGCTCGACAGAATTGCAATCAAATTTAAAAACTTTGCTGAAACTAATGGCTACATAGTTGACCTGAATTTCAATTCAACTATGTAACCATATTAATCGGAGCTGGGTCTGGATTTTGTTTAAAAAGGAATGTGTGTGTGTGTGTTGGGAGGAGGGTGTTACATTTACCTTACAAGATCCAGAAAGGAGTCTGTAACCTCTTTAGGCTCCGGCAGGGCATCTTCCAAACCCGATAGATCGGGGTTGGCGTCAGCGCCGACCCCGGGCTTGACGATAAAAGCCATGGTCACCCCGATCGCCGAGGCGATAAGGGTGGTCAGGAAGAAGAAAAGCATCGCCCAGCCTCCTAACTTGCCCAGGGCTCGGGGGTCGAGGCTGGCAGCTCCGGACACTAAGCTGCATACCACCAGCGGGATGATGATCATCTTGAGCAACCGCAGCAACAGCTCCCCTGGGAAGGAGAAGTAGATGATCTGGACCCGGCTGAGGTGGAGGTTCCTCACCGACAGGCCGATCGCTACCCCGGTGATCACCCCGATCACGGTCAGGATCACCAGCAGATTGGAGCTGATGCAACCCTTGATTTTCCTCATCTTGCCGGCGGCCTCAGGCTTTCTGAACGACACATTGTCGCCGCTTCTCGCTACATTGTTGCCATCGTCTGATACTTTGTTGCCATTTGCAGCTTTCTCGTCCAGGTAGATATCCCCGTTCGAAATCCCCTTCGAACAATCGTCACTCAATGAAGCCATAATTCCCTCCTAATCCGCTTTTTCTCTCCTGTCTATCAGGTTTATACAAATAGAAAATATACCTCTTGAAACCTCTGGCTTTTCTTGTGAAATCCACGCGAGGTAGAAATCGAGCGGGGGGAATGTGTTTGAAACTGACTCGTTCCGCCTGACCCACGAGGTGTACATTTCAAGGGCGGGGCCGAGCCCGTTAAATCATGATAAGAACGTAAGTGTAGCAGCCAATCCCTCGCTGTATAGACAACAGTCCCTCTACTGGACCGGAACAAGCAGAGAGAGAAGAGGGAAGGAGAGTTTTTTTTTTCAAATTCATTTGTAGGATGTGGCTCTCTGCTGATTAGGCCAGCATTTGTTGCCCATCTCTAATTGTCTCTTGAAACGGTGAAGGCGAATGTGAGGAAGGGTCACTGGACCCGAAACGTTAACTCTGTTTTCTCCTTCACAGATGCTGCCAGACCTGCTGAGCTTTTCCAGCAACTTTGTTTTAGTTCCTGATTTACAGCATCCGCAGTTCTTTTGGTTTTTATAGCGAATTATCTTCTTGAATTGCTGCAGACCATCTAACTTTGAGACACCCAAAATGTTATTAGGGGAGGGAGTTCCAGGATTTTGATCCAGTCACACTGAAGGGTCAGTGATATATTTCGAAGTCAGGATAGTGATAAGTTTACAAAAGTGAGGCCATAATGTCTTTTTCCTAGGGTTTAAGGTAAAAGTGGGCAAGTTTTAAAGGAGATCATAGAGTCATAGATAACAAGGTGTAGAGCTGGATGAACACAGCAGGCCAAGCAGCATCAGAGGAGCAGGAAAGCTGACGTTTCGGGTCTAGACCCTTCTTCAGAAATGAATCATAGAACCCCTACAGTGCCAAAACAGGCCATTCGGCCCAACAGGTCCACACTGCCTCTCCGATGAGCATCCCACCCTAACTCATTCCCCTAACCCTGTATTTCCCCATGTCTAACATCCCTGGGCACTATGGGGTAATTTAGCATGGCCAATCCACCCTA